AGTTACAGTAGCTTTATCTTGTTACTTTTCCCATGGTAGAACAAAAATATCCTCTTAATGTTTCTGATTTATGAAATGTTGACAATAAATTTTAAATCATTAATGTTGAAAGATGTTTAACTACATATCCGGGAAACGTCTTTGCATGACAATACAAACTAGATACTGCATAAGTTACCCCTGTTGTGAAAAAGATGGGTGCCAAACAATTTAAAAACATTTGGGGCATTTAGTGTAAGAAACCTGTATAAGAGCTAAACTTATCAAGCATCAGCATCCTACATCTACAGACGTTATGCAGAAGGTTGCTGATGACACTGTTATTTGACTTATCTCTGCTTCCTGAATACTTCAGCATTCACCCTCCTTGCTGTGCGTTGGTGTGTTGTAACCACAAGGGCATCTCCTCGCCTCCCCAGGATTCGAGAATTAATAGATTTTTCAAATGACTCTTTTTTTTCTTCTTTAAATTATTTTATTAGAAACCTAGTGTGTGTGCATGGCGTTGCAGTGTCATTAAATTTAGTCTAAAGAGGTGATACATAATATCAATACACATGCACCTCCAAGGGTTTTTTTTAATAGGTTTTTATTTTCGAAATGAGAGATTAATTTTTTTACATTAATGTTTCAGGGTCTTTATTGTTACGTGTGTTATTTCATTCATGGTAAGAACTTGAAACTTAGACTTACTTCAACATTTGGTAACTCAGTCTTCAGACCATGTATGAGGGATTTCTATATTGTTCCATCTTCCAGTTCATTTAAATAATGACTCGGAGTAAGGGATAATAGAGTTCCTGAAAGGAGAATAACAACACAGGACTTCCGTGTGTCCCTCCTCTGATTGGTCGGACAGTGCCACGTGAGCTGCGTCACTCAGTTTCGAGGCTGCACACGGCCTTACTCTCAAGCCAAAGAAATCATGCCGATAACTTCATGGAACGTAGTTCTCATTATTAACTTCACCACCGTAGTCGGCGTTTTCGGCTGTTTGACCAACAGCCTGTTTCCCAATGAAGACCCAAATATACCAGCGATCGCCAAATATTTCTGCACGAAAGGGAGGTATGAAGAAGTGAACCCGCACCTCATTCGGGACATTCTCTCTGTCAACACATCGATTTTACAGCCGCCGTCCGATCAGTGTCGCCAAATCCATCTGACTGCTATCATAAGGCATGGCACAAGATACCCGACCACCAAAAACGTCAAGAAGATGCAAAGCTTCTACAAGCTGGTCCGCAGCAGCGCCACTGCCAAACGGAACTGGCTGCGAGAGATCCAGACCCAGTGGAGGATGTGGTACACGGAGGACATGGACGGCCGCCTGGTCCAGAAAGGCGTCGATGACCTCAGGTATCTGGCCATCAGGCTGTCCAAGTTGTTCCCCTCCATGATTTCTGAGGAGAACCTTCGAGGAGGACGCGTCAAGTTCATAACCAGCTCCAAGCATAGATGCGTCAACAGCACGCTGTCCTTTAAGGCTGGACTGACAGAGCTGTGGGACATCAGAGGTATACCATCACGGGGAGGATGCAGCTGTGCTCCAACAGTCTCTTTTTCTGCTCAGTGTCTTGCTTGTGTTCCATACAGATACAGAGTTTGACCACGCGGTGAACGATGCCCTCATGAGGTTCTTCGACAGGTGCACCAGGTTTCTACAGGAGGTGGACAACAACCCCTCAGCGGCCACAGAGGTGGACAAGTTCAAGCAAGGCCCGGAGATGAGGAGGGTCCAGCAGAAAATAGCAGACCGACTCGGTGTCCCCTACAGCCTCATCACAGATGGTCAGTTTTAGACGTTTTCAACAAATGTAACTTTGACCGAGCGTGCAGTATGCTGAATGGTTTTTAGCATCAAATCTTGAGCTTGATAGTTACTTTATGAGTCAAATATGGCATGCTGCAAACAAAAATACTGTTTAGCAAAACATTTATTGTGAATTCAGTTGAAAATTAGGAGAACGTGCTTAAGTAAAATACAACTATTTAGAAATTCTGTTTGGGGTGAGAAAAGGACTTTTATAATCCCTTTTTTTCTTGAATAAGGTTAGTGGTGCAATTGCAGTACTGATGCTTTTGCTAATACTTTCCTAATGAACTTATTTGGAGAAAGAGAAAGCTTTTGAAAAATAAAGAATAAACTTGGCAGATTTGGTACTGAATTAACTTAAAATGTAGAAACGGTCCTCAGATTTGAGGCTTACATTAGACTTTTACTGTGTTTTTGCACTGAAGGTGGTGCTGTTTTCTTATGGTGCTATATAAGCTTCTGCCACCAAGTTGTTCAGTCACTACACTTTAGTCATTCTGTCCTCTGTGTGGATTATTCATTAAAAACCTTTCAGCTCAGGTGCTGTGAACACTTCGGTTCCTCATGCAAAACACTGTTTTGTCAAATTCTATTACATTTACAACATCTAAGCAAACGTCTTACTCTCCAATAATACAGCATAAATAAAATGACAGCTTTATTACTCATACTAGTCGTTTCCAACAGATTTCATTGGGATCTTAGATATTAAATCGTTGTGCTTTGGGGGCCTTTTCACATGTCACTTTAACCAAAGCATCTCATTTGAGATGATGGATTTAAGGCCAAAGAGGGAACGTTATGTACAGTACTTCTTTAAAAATGTAAATTCTTTAAAAAATAGAGTCATATTTAGACTTTTACAATTGGGGCAGAGAGTGGTGTATATTCCAGGCACATGAAGTGCCAGCTCAGGTCCATGAGCTGCCTCAAAAAACTCTTTGTGCATATTTGAATCACTTCTACTCAGCTCATCATTTTTTCTAGTATTTAGTGTTACCCGATCCTCGTATTTGAAACAAAGCAAGGTAGCTATCAGCATACAGAACTACTTTTATTCCTTAATGTGAGTGCAGAACACAAAATGACCTTGTGTTTTACTTTAGGTTGAAAGTTAAAGTGCTTTTTGATTGTAAAGGTTAAATACTATATTCTGCCATGAAAAACCAACACTGGTTGTGTAACTTTCGCACAGATGTATTGTTCTCTTGCTGAAGGATAATTTGTATTGACTTTCTATTCATAGAATATTTTTGTTTGACCAACGCGGTGTACTTTTGTCCCCGGGGCTGCTTCACCTGTCTTGTTAAACTGATTTATAATGTTATTTTACAATCTTTATTCTGCAGATATGGCGGAGGCCGCCTTCTACATGTGTGCTTACGAGTTTGCCATCAAGACTGTGAACTCCCCATGGTGTCAACTCTTTGATGAAGTTGACGCACAGGTACGGCTATTTTCTGGCACAATCCCCATATTAATGCCCATGAAGAGGTATGCAAGAGGTTAGCCCCAAGAAATAATTAAACGCATTTTTATCATTCTGCCATATCAGCTTAGATAGTTTCCTTATTTCTAGTTGGCGACAGGTTAGTTTAAGAGAAAGGGATTTTTTCAAATTTAGCATGCATTTCTTAAAAGCAGGCTGTTGGAGGCCGAAAGCTTGAGGGGACTCAATGATTGAATTATTCCTGAATATGTGGGGAAAAAAGAGAAAACAGCACAGTAAATGAACTGGAGAAAAAACAACACCCTTCATCATGTGTCATTATGTAATGGTCACATGGAGAATGATTTTAAAGAAGACCCAGTCGTCAGATCATTTTCTTCTGCTTGTTTAGTTTTTCAACCTGAATTGAACTAATGGATGTCTACGTGATTATCAAGTAGCTTTTCACTGTGCCTTTCTGTAGTATTTCTTTTGTGGTTTATTAAAATTCACATGCAACAATCTGTACAACCTGATTCAACAGGTTATGGAGTATTCGATTGATCTGAAGCAGTTCTGGAAAAGAGGCTATGGCTATGACATTAACAGCAAGTCCAGCTGTATCCTGTTCCATGATGTGTTCAGTCGTCTGGACCAAGCAGTCGCTGAAAACAAGTAAGTAAAACTAACACGGCGCCGCTCTGTGCATTGGTTTTTAGTGCGTGAGAAAGCAAACATAACTGGTGGAAAATCACAAGGACAAAAGCTATCAAAGTAACTGAGAAAAAAGCCCTTTTGTCAGTGCCTGTCAGAATGCTGTGTTTGAGGGCTGGCGGCCTCAGTCTTGAACTACCCACTTAACTGAAAAGGACAACCACCTTATCAGGGTTTTTATGGTCTATATAGAGCAAACTGCCCTCAACGTACATTGTGCTATGACCGTTTAATCATATACCTTATTCATGTAAACCTTTGAGTATTTTTTTTATGTTGAATTGTTTCCCCCCCACAACGAAAAGTGTTTATGACCACATCTTAGAAACAAAATTACATTTATTGTGATATCTATAGTATACTTGTTATATGTCTGATATAGCAGTCCCACTACAAACTAATCCGTCAGGTGTTCTATTCATCACTTTTGTAGTGCACACAGTATTTATTGTGATTTTTACACAGATGTGTCAACAAATTTATCTGGTAAATACTAAAAAATGTACAAAAAATTAGATTTTTGTCTGAAATCCATATGTTCGGTGTCAGAGGACAGCTGTCTTGGCTCAGATACTTTAAAACACGGCTCACTTTGCGTCTGAAACAGCTCCGCTGTGTTTTTCAGGCTAGACCAGCAGGTCACCGAAGCTGTGACAGTCCAAGTGGGCCACGCGGAGACCCTCCTCCCACTTCTCACCCTGTTAGGATTCTTCAAGGACGACGACATCCCGACGTCCACCAACTACGCCTCCCAGGCCCGGCGCTCCTTCCGCACCAGCCACATGCTCCCGTATGCTGCTAACCTCCTGCTGGTGCTGTACGACTGTGGGGGGGGCGACCTCAGGCTGCAGCCGCTGCTCAACGAGAAGCCCGTGGCGTTTCCCGGTTTGAACGACGAGCCGGCGGCTTCCATGCCGCTCTATCGAGACGTGAGAGAACGATACAGGGACCTGCTGGACGGATGTGACTTTGAGACCGAATGCCAGCTGTTCAAAAATCCCTCTGATGCTTAGGCAGATGCTGGGAAAGAAGAAAACATTCTAAAAGTTTTATGATTTTTTTGTTTTGAGTATTACGTTTTTATGCTAGCATATTGATCCAAACGGTTCTGTCATGTAAATTTGGATTCGGCACTTTTAAATTTTAAATCTCAACAGAACAGCAAGCAAGTTCTTTCCTCCTGATACTTTTAAAAATGGTGCCTCTTAAATATTATACAAGTGCCAGAACCTTTCACGTCTTTCCACATTTCCGCACCATCTTCATTTTGTGGTTTTGCAGTGTTTGTTTCCACTAACACAACCAAGAGCATATATTAAAGAAATAGATTTTTCTTTGTTTTTCTGATGATTTCATTTTCTAAACAAAAGAAGCAGAGTCAAGCATTTTACCTGCTATCACAAACATTACTTTGCAAAAATGTGTTTGCTTGATTTCCGAGGGACAGACCAAACACTCATCACTCGTGTTTTGCAGATCATTTAATTGATTTATAAAGTAAAAACCTCCTCGGTTTGCCAGATTTATTCCTACTTAAAACTTGATTGCTGATTAGAAACAACATAGGCCATTTTTAAATGGGCTAACGACATCCGTCTGCTTGGCTGAAAAGAGTTCCCCCGCAGCAGGATTCTTTAACATCAGAGCTGATCCTCTGACCATCTCTGCAGTCATTGTTTGCAGCAATTAAAATCCATTACACTGATTAAAATGGCCTTTGGGCTCAAATTTGTAAATGACTCCCCCACCCATTCCACTGAGACCGAGGGGAGGGACAGAACATCCACAGCCCACTGAACAGGTAGTATTTGTGTACCGATGTTAAGATGTTTCACATGATTTTGCATCTGTTCGGTAATTCTTTTTTTGACATACATGGCATGTGGTTTTCATGCCATCGTGCAGGAATGTACACAAGTGTTTTCAGTTATTCAAACATCTCAGTGTTTCTTTTTGGCCTTTTGGTTTCTTTGATGTTTTTTAAAATGTGTGTTTTGGTCTTTTTAAAACACATTTTGGGTTCTTTTTTTTTTTGCTCATTATGTCTCTGAGCTTGTTTTGTTGACGCTGGCCTCTTTTTGTTTGGCGTTCCCCGCTGTCTGCAGCACAAGTTCATTATTTCCAAAGGGAAGTGGACAGGGAAAGAGGCACATTTTGGGGCGGGCATGACTGCAGACAGAACTCAGTTAGACTTGTGCTTAAACTAAGAAAAAACTAACTTAAGTAAAACACATGTTTGAAAACATGAAATGAATTCATTGATATCTATCTGATGGAGAATATGTGGCTTATTCTAGAAATTATGTCCAATAAACCAAAAGGGTACCAAAAAAAATGGATTTGTGCATAGTAGCTAGACATTGAGTTATAACCATGATTTATCTGGACTTATGCAATCCTTCATTTATCATTAACTCGGTTAATGTTTAACTTTGAATGACTTGGGCTGCATAGCTGAAGGATTTTTTTCTGCTACTTCCAGTGGTCATCCCCTGTGTGTAACCCGTCTGTAATAAATCATGTACACTGTCCCGGTTGTTCGCCATGCATTAGCACCGGCTCTTAAACGGCTTTTTATGCAAATTATTAGACGTCGGAGGAGGGAGGGAGGGCCCGGGGCAGGGCCAGCGGAATGCTACGTGTCTTGAGAGTGCCTTTTAAACCTCCATTAGCCTCCTCCGTTTAACTTTGCCCGAAGTTTGGTGGCTCGAACTTCGAAGGTTCCAGGTCCGCGCGCGTGAAGTTCCCTGCGCCTCGGAGGAGTCGACGCCTGTCCGAAATGTCCGGATTGAAAAAGCTTCGCACGGTAAGGAGATGTGGAGATAACGGGAAATAACCCAGAAATCGGTGGAACGCAAACAGTCCCGATGTAAGCCTCGATATCTTTGTTTCAAGTGCAGCTCAGCCATGACGAGCCGTCAGCGACTGGTGTTGTTAATGCGCGAGAATAACTCACTAATTAAACAGTCTTATTACCACTGAAGCGGCAGGGAGTGTGTGTGTGTGTGTGTGTGTGTGTAAGAGAGGGGGGGGATCTTCCGTACGGTCTTTATCTGCTGTCTTCTTGATTTCCTTAAAGCAAGCCCTGTATGTTGCTTTAAAAGTCTTTTTTCTTTTGCCACCCCACTCCACATCCCATGCCCAGCCTCCGACTGTCCAGCCAGGTGTGGTGGCCTCCCCCCATGGATCAGGAACATATCCATATTCACCCTCACACAGGGTGTCTTGTGAGGCACAGAAAGAAGCCACTGATGAGACACAGCAGACTGATGCTGCTTAGGAATTTTCCCACTTACAGAACATACGATGTTGGGGGTCAAGAAGAAGCCTTAAATGAGTCTGTCAGTCCATCGTAGTTGGTGGTTGATAAGAGGAAAGACAGGGAGACCACAGATCTGGCTTAAATTTTTTTTTTTTTACTGGAGGGAGAACTTCAGTGCTTTAAAGTGAGAATTATTTCCGAAACGTCGTTCAATATGTGCACTGTGATGCTGATGAACTTTTCAGAAACTCAGATGCCTGCAGTGAAAACGATGACAGGATTTGAAAGTCTACTTAAATGTTATTACTAATAGCTGATAGTTGACTGTAGTTCAGAAAACAAATGTTGTCCTTCATAAACTGTTGGGATAGCGTTGTGTCATACAGGGCTGATATAATGTTCAGGAAAGTCATTTGGAAACATATTTACATTAAAAAAATATATATATCAGTCACATCCCTAATTCTTCATTTAAAGAGACTTGAAATTTCATAGATAAATGTGTATCTCTAGTTTAGGAGAGTTCCAAGTGTTAAATTAAGATTACCTCTGTGATAGAGCAGAGATACAGTATTTAATTTAAAGGCTGTTTGAGTCTGTCTGACCACAATTATCATACAAACCCCTGAAAGAGTACAGAACGTTGGCAAACGATAAAAGGGATTATCTTTGGCAAGTTATTTCTGCTTTATCTGCTTTGACTTCCCAACAGATGATATGAAAATTGAAGAGGATACATGCTTACATATTAGCTTTTACATTTCTGTATGTAAAAGCTAATATTTTTTGCATGAAGAATACAGTTTTGCAACAAAACAAAACATATTTGGCAGTAGCTGGGATTTTTTTTTTTAATGAATAACGAATTGAAAGTATCTCATTATGTTTTTACAAAAGATGAATGTTTGAAAAGAGGAAGGAAAGATAAGAGGGCATGTTGTAAGCAAAAGGCTGAGTTTGAGGAAAGAGGGCAAGCCATCTCCCCTGTGCTTTGTCTACTGCCTTAAACAAGAAGTCGTTCAGAGGACCTACATTTATGAAACGACACCCTCCACCCCTGAGTCAAATACACCTGAATTTGTGACATGAATGAACAGAGCCAGAGCCGTGTTTCTGTTTGTGACTGGAGGCCGTTCGGTTGTCAGATGATGACTACAACATTGTGGAGGAAAAAAAATCAGGGTGGAGTTTGTTGAACTACTTTGTGAGGAAGACGGGTGAGTGGGTGCGAGCGTTTTAGCCGGAGCAACTGCCACATCATCGGCAGGCTGCAGGCAGTACACTGGACACATTGTCCGGTCAGTCTTCTCGTTCCCTCCATCCCTTCACTGCCTTCCTTCCCCACCCCTCCTGAAGTCAATACCTCATTTATTCAGTTTGGTCCACACGGCCGCATTCATGGCCTGTAAAACCACTCTTGCTACAAAACTGTGTGGACTATTGTGACTTTTTACATTGTACATTGTCTTTTTACATACGTCTCACGTATATGTTTTCCAGAAATACCTATTCTGCCCAGCTTTTTTTTGTCAGATTTGATAGAAACATGGGGGTTCGATGGAAAATTTTCTCAAAAATGTAGGAAGGTTGCATGGGTAAAGGACATTTTCTGGGTGTGTATAAATTGGACAAAGTTGATATGTGGTGTTCTCATGCAGCTGTTAGCAATTCCCCAAACCACTGTATTCTGCTTTTGTCTGAGCCTCCTCTCTTCAATTTTAGGATCTCAACAGGTCAACCAACGTGGTGTACCAAGCTCACCATGTCAGCCGGAGCAAGAGAGGACAAGTTGTGGGCACCAGGGGGGGCTTCAGGGGGTGCACCATCTGGCTAACCGGTACATTTCCACAGTCTTAAACTGGTATTCCCCTCTTGATAATGACTGCCTTTAATCATGGATTCAATTGCCATTCCGTTAAATAAACCCTCTAGGTTTGTCTGGTGCTGGGAAGACCACCATCAGTTTCGCTTTAGAGGAGTATCTGGTGTCCCACGCCATCCCTTGCTACTCGCTGGATGGAGACAACATTCGCCACGGCCTGAACAAGAATCTGGGCTTCTCAGCGGAGGACCGTGAGGAGAACATCCGGCGGGTTGCCGAGGTGGCCAAACTGTTCGCAGACGCCGGCCTAGTGTGCATCACCAGCTTCATCTCTCCCTTTACCAAGGTCAGAGAACGTCAACCACTTGGTGCACCACAGCTAAACACATAACAGGAACTCAACAGGGAATTTTAAACAGCCTGTTTTTTTTCCTTGGACAGGACCGGGATGAGGCGAGGAAAATCCACGCCGGTGCGGGGCTCCCGTTTTTTGAAGTCTTCATCCACGCTCCTCTGGAAGTGTGCGAGAGCAGGGACGTGAAGGGACTGTACAAAAAGGCTCGGGCCGGAGAGATTAAAGGTCTGTTTGGCAATGCTGTGGATGGTAAACCCTCTCCAGATGTTACACTGGAAGCCACCTCTTCACACACATAGAGCCAGACCGTACCTGCGAACGCTTCGGCTCGTTTTAGTTATTTTGACTGCTTCCCGAATTTGTCGGCAGGTTTCACTGGAATCGACTCAGATTACGAGCGTCCCGAGGCACCGGAGCTTGTTCTGAAAACCGGAGAGTTATCCGTGAATGAGTGTCTGCACCTAGTGCTGGAGCTGCTCAGGGATCAGGTGGGTGGGACAAACGGCCTGGGAGATTTGCTCTGGAATTACACACTGTTTTCTCTCATTCAGGCCTGCGTCTGATTCTGTTTGTTTTTCTGTGGTCATGGACGTTTTTTGTATGTACAAAACCAACATTAGAGCCAGAGCACACAGTTCCTTCAGGATGTAATAAGCCTGTTGCGAATGCACTATGGATCCGTATTTGTATGACCTTTTCCATAAGTAACAAGTTCTACGTTTCATTGATGGGCTGATGTAAGCTACCCAACTCCCTAAAAAGCAAATAATTTAAGACATCCAACTATGAAACCTTAATCCCGAGAAGGGAAAAGTTTTATGAATAGCCAGCCAGAGGCAGAAGGGACCAGGATCAGTTGTTCATATTTGCTTTTTGAAAAACAAAAGCAAAAGTATGCGGTGCGAGGTGTGGTTGTAAACTGCTGCTGTTTCTCCATTGATGCCAAACTGGTCGCACGCCGCTGCAGGAGCTCAGGATATGCTGCCAATTCCTTTGCATCTTCTTTATATTTTTAAAAAACATTTCCTGTGCTGATTTTGGAGGCTGTGCCGCTGATACAAAGCAGGGCCGAGTGGAGGAAGGTTGTTTGCATGTGGGATCAAGTAATTGAGCTTTCCAAAGCCCAAGTAATGCCTCAAATAGGACCGCCAAAGGAGATGGTTGGAGGGGGACTTGTTGAGGATCCAGAAAAGAAAGGAAACAAAGGAAAAAAAGAAGCTCCTACCATTTTCTTCCTTAATCCGTAATCATCATAGTAGTAGTGAGATCTTTGGCAGAACCTGGAGCCCTGACAGAGGCAAGAGAACAACCAAGAGGGCGATACTAGTCCCTGTTACAGACATGACTACAGGACCAGCTCAGTCATTCTTTTTCACAGCCGGCTTCCCATAAGTGAAAATGCTGTATTCTGATGTGATCGGGGGCGGGATTGTGGCCAGACATACGCGGTTACATGACAAGCATGTCACAACCCCAATTTCCAGGAAACATTACATCAATTTCAGCAAGTAAAATGAGCTGTTGGGAAGAAAGGCGACGGTACATGCAGATCCATAAATGCTCAGACCTTTAGGGCAGCCTGTTAAAGAGCCACAATGTAAAGGACATTGAACATTTGACAGTATGTTGGATTTTGTGGTCTGATGTAAATAGCTTCGAGGAGAGAAAAGAACAGGACAGGAAATCCTGTGCCTTTTCTTTGGTATCTATGTATTTTTTCTTTGGATGTTAGACCGTATAGCCTGGAGATAAACTGGCCCCAAACTATTTGCTTGATAAACTTTGATGATATGTTCTTCTGGTAAAATCTGACAAAGAAGTAAGGCAGGAAAATTGGAGTTCGGTTTACATACTGTACAAGCATGCACATATGATCTCAATTCAACAGTTTAAACTCTTTCAAATGCTGAATATTTTGTGTGTGTTAATTCTCTCTGTGCTTGTGTGTAGAATATTGTGCCAGGTGAGATCTTGGAGGAGGTGAATGAACTGTTTGTTCCGGAAAACAAGCTAAATTTGGCACTGGCTGATGCGAACACCCTGCCCACTATCAGCATTACCAAGGTAACTTATGGCTCCTGTTTATCAGATCCTTAAGTTGATAAGGCAAAGAAATGCTTTTAATGACATTTTCCACAATGCCTCTGACAAGGATTGCTTGTTTATTTTTTTACTTCTTTCTCTCATGCAAATCTATGAAATACAGGCTTGTTTAAAAGGAGTGACATGTCAGAATTATGCCAGAACATAATGCATAATGTGTAATAATTCCTTGTCCACAGTTGGATCTGCAGTGGGTGCAGGTTCTGGCTGAGGGCTGGGCCAGTCCTCTGAAGGGCTTCATGAGAGAAAGAGAGTTCCTCCAGGTCTTACACTTTGGAAACCTGCTGGATGGTGTGTTATCCCCATTATTTTTACAGTCTTTCAGGGCTTCCTCTATAAGCCAGCATTGCAACATCGGCTAACACACATCACGTTTTTATCATGCATTATTTTTATGAATTAACTTTTTTTTTCTCTCATTGTGTTAATGAATTTCTTTTTTGACGTGTCAAACCGCGGGCAGGCCTTCTCATTTCTCTTTGTGCTGTTTTTAAAAAGTACAGCTTAACACCGGAAATAAGATTATGCACTTGTGCAAAAGTGTGATCACAGTATGTCGAGTCAACACCCGAGAAAATCAAGTGCAACTTTTTAAATGTAGGCTACTCACCCAGAAAGCCGCCTAGTGATCTGCTCACCCATGTTCCTCACTCAGTTTAAATATTTGATATAACATGAATTTGTTGGCTAACTTAGCTTGATCATCGGTGAGCACACCAGTAACACTTTGGGGTTTGGTTAATCTCAACATGTAATTCGAGGATTAAAAACTACTTGACTCGCTCCATCCTGAGCTAAAACCTATCTAACTCTAAGTGGAGAATTGAAGCTGCATATTTTCGGCAATGTTCTACTTCTCATTTAATTGTCTATTGTCTATTGATTGGTTTTAAAGTGCCGTATATAATCCTGTGTCTCTATTTATTTATACTATTGAGTAATCTCCAGAGTCATATGCCCTTTATCCAAGTGGCTTGGTATAAGATTAAAGTGTGTTGTTTTCGTTTTCTTATTGGGTTTCCTTTTTCTTTCTCAGGTGGGGCCATCAACATGTCGGTGCCCATTGTGCTGCCAGTTAGCACAGAGACTAAACAAAAGCTGGATGGCTATGCAGCTATAGCTCTGGAGTACCAGGGTTCACGGGTAGCCATTCTCAGGAACCCAGAGTTCTACGCACACCGTAAAGAGGAGCGCTGCGCCAGACAGTGGGGCACCACCTGTCCTCAGCACCCCTACATTAAGGTAGCCTTTGTCTTTAACAGGCAGTTCTGACGCAGGCAGGAAGTCCCTTTTGCCTTCTACAAAACTACTCGTCTTGCTTTGTTCAGTCCTCAGAGTTGTATTTCAGCGTCTCAGATATTTCTGTAACACAAAGGCACGGATGCACTATGCTTATTGTTTTGTGCAGATGGTTATGGAGGGTGGTGATTGGCTGGTTGGTGGTGACCTGGAGGTGCTGGAGCGAATCAAATGGAACGATGGACTTGACCAGTACCGCCTCACTCCACAGGAGCTCAAGCAAAAGTTCAAAGATATGCAAGCAGGTTAGATTTGACTGGAGTGTCAGATTGTAAACACGCGTTTGTAAATTAGCTGAAATAGCTGCCTCAGCTGTTCTGGGATCTTTCATATAAGAAACCAGAGTTTTCCTTTAATCTGTAACAGTTTCTGTTGCTCCTCACTTTTACCTTCAAAATGGTTAGCCTTATAACAAGCTTAAATGTAGGCATTCTAAAGTAGCTGGCAAGGGTTTGGGAAACATAGTATGGCAGAAGGAGGAGCCTCACACACAAAAGAAAGCTTACTCTTCTAACTACCCAAGATGACAAGTCCGGTCCTGTCAAACGAGAAAACATGTGCGAAGCAAAAGACAAACCTCCATGATGATAAGTGATCTTTCAAGTAATTCAACTCATACTGGAATAAATCCAACAGCACCGTAGAGAATACTTCTAATATTCTTTCTCTATATTTCTATTCCACATATTAGAAATAGTATTTGTGTCAGTAGCTTATGGCTTGAATCAGTCAGTTGGTTCCACAGTGAAAAAGCCACTAAGGATGGTGAAAAAGGTCAGTCCCAGTGGCCGTGTACTTAGCAGTGCATTATTTGTCTTTCAGGAAAACTTGACTAAGGACAACATGAAAAAGTGAAATGGTAACTTCAAAGCTGCATGGTGTCTGTGATGATTTCTACGAAGTCATTGAGTATAAGAATGCAATGAAAGACTAAATATCAGCACCTGATTTTATTGTCCCACAGAGACATGGTTTTTTTTTAGTCCAGTCAACTACAGAGCAGGTTTTGCTTTAGACATTTTTGTCTTTATTTTCTTTTGATTTAAGAAGCTGCAGTGTTTTTTGTTCCATGTTTAATTTATGGCTGAGAGAAATCCAAATGATTTAACTGATTGGGTTCAGTGCATGTAGATAATTTTTTTTCTCCTTTGCAGATTGTGTTTGCTGAGATTGTTTTATAGTGTTTGTGTTGACACTAAACAAACAAAAACCTTAGATGTGTTCACTTCTCAAAAGCAATAATAGCAGAGGTCCGCTAAGACGATAAGCTGCTCACACAATACTTGTAAAGAGGATCAGCTGATTTTTGGTGTTATGATTTTTCGGTGCACTGTTTCCGTTAGCTGTAAAGTTACAGCAGGGGCATGGTAAGCATGTTTGCTGTGACAGTTATGAGAACACAGCCATTCAAGGACTGTGTTTTTTAGGCCATTTTGGAAAAGTAGAGTTGCTAACTGAACTTTGTTTATGCTCCTTCTTAGATGCGATATTCGCATTCCAGCTGCGTAATCCAGTCCACAATGGCCACGCCCTTCTTATGCAGGACACCAAGCGGCGTCTGCTGGAGCGGGGATACAAAAATCCAGTCCTCCTGCTTCACCCGCTTGGCGGGTGGACTAAAGACGACGACGTTCCTCTCGAATGGAGGATGAAGCAGCATGCTGCTGTCTTAGAGGAAGGTATTTTGGATCCAGCCAACACCATTGTTGCCATTTTCCCATCCCCTATGATGTATGCTGGACCCACAGAGGTAAGGACGCTGGTTCGGGAAGAGGCCGGGATCATTCCACTCAACCGCATGTGACTGAACAGCAGCTTTTGTCTTCCAGGTTCAGTGGCACTGCCGAGCCAGAATGATTGCCGGAGCAAACTTTTACATCGTTGGCCGGGACCCTGCAGGCATGCCTCATCCAGAGACAAAGCAGGACTTGTACGAACCCACCCATGGAGGAAAGGTCCTCACCATGGCCCCAGGGCTCACCTCTGTGGAAATCATCCCCTTCAGGGTCGCTGCTTACAACAAGACGAAGAAGGCTATGGACTTTTACAGCCCAGAGTGGTGAGTGAGGAGAGATTTTCTGGTCTTTTGTTCCCAACTGCAGAGCAGCCATAACAACATTTCATGACATGTTGGCCTGTCCTGAAAATTCAGAGGCTTTGTCCAGTGTTTCTGGAAGTGTTTAAATCCTCTTTTGTTACTGGCTTCTAATGACCCGTCCTTTTTCCTCCCCAATTCTCTAATCTCTCAGTCATTCTGAGTTTGAGTTCATCTCTGGAACCAGGATGAGAAACTTGGCTCGGAACGGAGAGAACCCTCCCGATGGGTTTATGGCCCCAAAGGCCTGGAAGGTGTTGGTGGAGTACTACACTTCTATTCAGAAGAACAAGTGACCAACAAAAAGCTCACCTGCCAACTGAACATTATGAAATAATCATGTTGGTTGTACAAGGGGGAGGAAGTATAGATTTTTGTCAACTTTCCGAGTATTTTAGATTGAATAGACTTTGATTTCTACTTATAAAGAGGTCTTAGCGGGGGTGGAGGTTTTGGCTTTTGATAAGATTGAAGGTCTAAAGCTGAAAAGCATTTTTACATTCCTATAAAGCAATACGAATCCATTATATGTTTACATACATATTAACTTAAAACAATTATGTATTTTAGTAATTTAAAGTTCACATTAAATCCTTTGCTTATTTCTACAAGTGTAGGAGCGGGAAACCATGTTTGATATTTATATGTGAAATCTGAAGGTTACCGAATGGAAATAAAAACCGTAGATTCTACTTTTATACCATTGTAACATGACAGTGGTCCTGCTGTCTGTCATGTTATTTACATGGTCTGAATGAAAGTTATTTTATAGTTTTATCATACAGTGCCTACTTGTTTGAAACGTGTGGCTGTTTTTTTAAAATGTGAAAGTGCCTCTCTTCATTGTCATTCTAGAACTGAGGATGTGGTCTCTTACTGATGTTTAACTGCCATGTCTCTGAAATGAGTGTGTGGGCCTGTGCATTATTTTAGTAGAAAGCTGTCAGTTCTAGAATTATCAAAATTGTATACTGCAGTAATAAAGGAAATCCTTTGTCACTTTGAATCATTGGTGACACCTTGAGACTGTTGCTAGTGTGTGCTTTAACCTTTTGTCCATGTGCTCCAGATGATGCAACATAACTGGAATAAGTAGCTGTCTGTGTAAGGTTCACACTAGGTTTGAGATTGAAGGTGGACTGGACTGTGTGCTTGTTTGGAGCCTAAAGACAAAAGTACAATGCTGCCATCTGCTGGCCAGGCACGAAATGAAGACTAGAAAAGCAACTGGAAAGAGCAGTGTCACTTGGGTTTGTGAATATTAACAACACAATATTAACAACTCCAACCATTAAAACAATACTCTGCAACAGTTATGTTTTCATGTATGTCAACCCTCATATGTTTGAAACCTCCAGAGGTTTAAGTGATGTCACCACAGTAATCAATGATGATTTACCATTTAAAAAAACAAAAACACATAGAGCACAGATCTATTGAAAAACCTTGGTTTTGTGTAAATATCTATCTTGACTGTTAGATTATGTGCATGGAATAGATGATATATATAAATCAGCATTTAGATGGTTGAGATAACTTTAAGGATTTTGAGGAATGTTTGCCATTCATTATCATACTGGTAAGCTAAATGCAGTGAGATGAGTGTGTATCTATTAGAAAAAGTAGGAAATCCTGTAAGAAACTGATTCCCAATTAGACTTGCATAGGAGATGATTTATTCTGCGATGTTCCAGGTAACCCCTTGTAAATCTGCTGAACTGCACCCCTCAGAGCTGTGAAGAATCTCCACGCAGTCAACATCCAACATGTCATGTCATGCTTACATATTTCTGGTCATCATCATTTCTATAGAACATACACTTCTCAAGTGTGATGTGTAAAAAGGACGTCATGTTTTACCTCACCTCATGTGTTTAGTGGGGACAATTTGTGTCCTTTTTTCTCTTTATTGATGAACGATAATTCGTTTTAAGACTGACTTATGTAGGGTTACCCCAGATGTATGGTTGAGAATGTAATTGATCTCTACATCCATCAGAAATGCAAATCTTGTTACATTTGAAATATCTCTATTGCTATACATCATGTAGGGCGATAGGATACATTTATGCAATTAAGACTGTTTGATAATATTGGGCAAACTTATTACAATAAATAGTTACTCTGACGAGACAAGACAGAAATTCTTCAAAGATGTTGCATTCATTCAGTCTTAAATTTTGAGACTGAGAGAATTTATCTTGATTACATATCTAGAAAATTATATCACAGTGCATAGGACAATATTTGGTATGTAATTTTATGGGACCACCTTTACATTACCTCACTATGTATATATATCTTTTTTTTTAACAGGATATTTTTATTTTTTATAGAATATAGAGTATTAACGTTTTAAGAAAGACGTTGTTCTATTAGAGATTCTATTTGAGATTTTTAAAAAGATATTTCATCCCCGTTTTAGAAAAAGATAGCATATATTCAGAGTTAACTTTGAGGCATTGAAGTGTAACAATGAAAAAATGAATGAATGAAGATGTCATGAATTGCATTACACATAATTTTAAAAAAATCTCATCTGATATCTGACAAACGGTCATAGAATTGTAAAATCATCAAACGAAATCGACGTTAAAGCTTCAATGAGCCGGTCCTCCAATGAATATATCTAAATAAACCTTTAACTATCTATCGGTTATGGCGATACCTTCTCTAAAAGTCTCATGTGACAGTTAAAACCACCAAAAGTGACATTATGTTGGAAACTTCCCTAATTACAATCACACGTGACCACTTTGACAGGGAGCGTTGCGGACATGAGTTATCCTTCCGCCAGAAGCACAAAATAATACGATTGTAGAGTTGTTTTAGTGTTAACATAATTTCACACATAAGCGCCTGGTTGCTATATGATTATCGTAATTGTTCAAATAACATTAGATCATGCCGAGTTAGCAGAATTGAAAAATTCGGCGGGACTATACACTGATGGCGGCAGGATATTTGTTTTAAAATCCCAGCCTGCTCTACCTTCTTTTTTTCCTTCGGTGGAGGCCATGATGGGAGCCTGAGAGTTCAGCTGGAGCGAGAGGAGCGAGAAAAGAAGATGATTCCCCGGGACGGAACTGTCAAACCAAGCTGTGCAGATTTCTGATCTTTGTATAGTCTATATACATTTGAGGTGGAGCCTGTCACTTTTTTTCAGATGAGTTCTTGGCAATCATTCGATGACAATGTTGAATCGTTAGGAGGTTTTTGGATCGAAAAAAGAGGTAGCGTTAGCGATTGTTGCTAGCTAGCTGCGCTAGCTAGCTAGCGTGCTAGCTACGTCTTAGTGACTGGATACTGGTTTTGAGAGCCGGTGGGTTCTCCAGCCTCCTGCTGTCAATCGCCGCAGCTACCATTGAGCCATCGCTTGGGACGTGTTTTCCATCGTAGAGTTTTTTTTCCGAGGACAACTGCATGTATTTTAATCGGGGGTGTTTGCAAAACGAATTGCGGGATTGGGAAAGTCGGGCCTGCACGGAGGAACGGAGCAGGGCCCGTCTTTATGATCCAGAGGAAGCCTTTCTAATCCTAACGACAGCCACTGCTAGCTCTGCGGGCTAGCACGTCTCTTCGAGGACCTGCAAAATTGTGCAGCCTGCGACGAGGGCACTGCTGCGACATAAACGAACGGACAGCCAATATTAGAAAAAGCTGTTTGCAACATTTATCCCACATAAACTCCTCACCTGCTACAATGGCTGCGATTATAAAAGAAATTGTCAGTCGGAACAAAAGGAGATACCAAGAGGATGGTTTCGACCTGGACTTAACATGTATCCTTCCATGTGTGCTTGTGTTTTACAGTGTTCGGGACATCGACCAGCATCGTATCATATTTTCATTGATCAGATGAAGGGGAGGCAGAAATGTCAGTGGAGTAACGTGAGGTTGGTTAGCTTCCTTGCTGCTAAAGTTAGCTATCGGCTAGTTGGTCAGACGGCGCAGCTTTGCTGTCACCCAGCATGTTTGAAAGATGGTGGATCTGTCAAACCAGCACGCATAAATGTCACAGTCGTGTTCTAGTGGGGAACCCCGGTTCAGCTGGACACTGATTTGTGTGTGCTTTAATAAGAGCGGAGCATTTAAGCTGCATATCCGCTGCTCAGCGGTGCACTGGCTTGAGGTTGTGAAATTGTTAGTGGCATGTAGTCTTTTTTTTTTTTTCTTCTTTTTTTTTTCACCCCCTTAGTCTTCATGGTTTGGCGCCCAAGGGTTATGTCTAGTATTTTCAGAATATATTTCATATCGTGCTCTAAAGTATGCCATTCAAAATGGAAAAGACTAATCTTCAATAATTAGTGGATTTCTGATGGTTTGTTATGACGGATCTGTGGTAAATCACTTTGGTCTTGCCTCTCTTTCTTCTGTCCTCGAAGCGAGGGTCCGTTGAAGTGTTTCGGCAAACGAATGTTCTCCTGTAACTTAATGTCGATTTTGAATATTTCTCGGATCAGATTGAGCATTTTTCCTGTAAGGTAACTGGTCTAATTTCTTTTTCATCAGACTGTAGTTGGCCTGGTTCTCTGTTTCATTATACCTGCTGCTCAAGATGGAAGTATTTGGCTGGTGATAAAAGTAGATCAGCAGCTGATGTGGTGTACTGTGGCCTACTAAATGCATAATTTAATGTGTGACTGTGAGAGCAGGTCATGGGTGAAGTCAGGGTAGATGTGCCCTGCTGACTTTGTGTCAAGATGTCATGCGAGAGGTTGGCTCTCCTGATTTTAGGGTTTGTCCAACAAAGGGCCAGTTTGCCCCAGACCAAATGCACCACAAGTAGTATTTTATTGTGTGTATTTCACCGAAAAGAATGACCATGTCATCTTTCTCAGATGAGAACATTTCTTGGGGGTCTTACGATGAAATGTACATTTAGGATTTGTTTTGGAATGTTTTTAGAGGTGCTGCCCAGCCCCCGAGGAACTGTGATAATTAGTGGTTTTTGGAACACGTAGACCAGATAAGTAATCTGAAACAAAAACTAACAGATGATGTCTGGCATGCTGACCAACAGCTATGACTACAGTCATATCCGGAGCTGTTAGTTTCTGTGTAATATGAATGAGACCCAGTTCACGGCCGCGATTTGCTTCATATGCAACAGTATTTTGGTGTTAACTCGACATTGACTGACATTTGTATCTTTTTTACTCATTCCCACAAAAAAAAAAAAAAAGAAGGGGAGGCCTGGCAATTTGAACCCAAGGTTTGTGAACTTGGGCTCAAGGAGGGTTTTGCGTCCTGTACAGCTGATCTGCGCTGTACTTGGGCAGATGTATGTCACCTGGTTTTATTGCGTGGTGAGTCTAATTTCACCTCTGTGTGGCAGGACTCTGTGGTATGCTGCCGCAGCTTTGTGAAGAGGAGCAGGCACACTCAAAAGCGACATCGCTCTTTGACTTGAGGTCTCCTCTCATTCAGATGTGGGCCTTTTCAAACTACCTAGTCTTATCATTTTTGGCAGCGTGTCTAAAAACAATATGGGCTCTCCGCAGTTATGTAATGCCCTATCACAGTTCTGGGAATTGCCCTTAAAATAGAGTTGCCAGTGATCTTGTATCTGCGTTGCTGTCTGAGTGCTCTTACCCTCTCAACCCACCACCTCTCCTTTGCTCTTTTTCTTTGCTACTCCCACTCTGATTCTCCCTCCCTCTGCTTGCCCCCTTTCCTGTGCTCTCCTCCTTTCCTGTCCTCCCCACCTCCTCCTCACTTAGTGCTTGCCGGTTACCACTACCCCCCCCCCCCCCCTTCTTTTCCTCGCAGTTGTGGATTTGGCATATGCATAGAGCTCAGGCAGGGCTGGCTTTAAAGAAAAGGCGTGCCGAAAGCAGCATTTTTTTTCTTCTCCAACTGGAGCTTCCATCGGGGGTCTTGCATATGCATTTCCTCCCAGCTGCAGAGACGGAGCCCCTCATGCCTTGGGCTGAGACTCTCATGGGAGTTTGCAAGTTTTTTTGAATCAGCTAGGGTTAGAGTAAGCCATTAAGTGACCAAAAAATAGCATTTGGAGCCTAATTAGATATATGAGGCATCATAGTGCAGGCTTATGGCACAGCATATACAGATAGGCATCTCTATTTGAGCCTCAGGAAAGCAGCTTGGCAGTATGCAAATAACACTGTACATTTGCTGTTGGGCTTGTTGAAATCCTCCACATTCAGCTTTCTATAATTACGCAAGGGAACATACTGAATTCCTCTTAAACTGTCATTTATTTTCCCTTTTCTTTGGAGTCAAGTATGTTAGAAATGGGATTAATCTTCATATGATCTGTCAGCAGAGCTACTTGCTCTGATTATTCTAGCATCTCTGAACTTTAGGGTCTACTGATTAAACCTTGAGCTGTGGAAGGGGCTGCCCTTGTGGCAGGTACCAGTATGTTGAAACTGGCAGGGGGTTCTTTTCTCGCCGGGGCTGCCGGGGGGG